ATGCAGTAGAAGTGAAGAGATGTGAATGCAATAAAGCAAGAAGGCCAGAAAGAGTTTCTAGTGAAGGCACTCCAAGAACCAAGTGGAAGCATCCCCGTCGCCAGCATTTGTGAAAGACGTCCGTGGGCACTTTGAACGCGTAGCAGCCCTTTCGACTTTTTGAATTTTTTTACCGTCAGTGATTTATGGCCCAAATAAGCGTGATTTTTCCGCGAAGGATTCCTTTAAGTGCCCTGATCAGCACTGCGAAATGCTCTCCAATCCTGCCGCCATTTCTGCTTGATGATGATTGTTGAACGACTGTTCATGATTCTAGTTGTTTCATATTCTGTGTTTCAGATGCTCAAATGGGGCAAATGCGGTTTTTAGCACGACAAATCGTGGACTTCGACACCAGCCTAAATAACCTCAGCCTCGCGACCCTGTTCCTTCTGTGCACATTTTGCGAACAAATCCGTTGGATAGTATTGTGTTATTCCCCATTTTTGTAACATTTGTCACATTATATGGAAGTTCATTAAAGGCACGCTCCAGGATTAGGCACGTTCGCCATCCCAGGGGTAGTAGACAGGCGGACAAGCGTTGATGTCGCGCCCCTTTTGCCGCTTGAAAGTGCGCGACAAAGGCGCAAGGAGCTCGTCCGACCCGCAACTCACACCTTCGTCCGCAAGCCCCACCCTCCGCTGTCGGTTGCCACGTGGCGCTGCTTGAAAAGCGCGGGCGCATTTGAGGCAGCGGTCCCATTGCGACCCAATGTCATTGGCACTGGAGCAACTAGAGTTAGGTTCGTGAAACTCGTCCAACGCGCCCCTTCTCTATCCCAAGGTGGAATGCGGCTGAAATAGGGGAGGTCTCTGTGCGGGCGTAATCGGTGGTTTCGTTTGCTTTTCCTTCTCTTTTCAGACCACCTCCCACCTCTAGCTTCATAACTGAACGCTTTTCCACACCTATTTTATCCCGAATCTTGCCTTTAAGGTGCTACCTCATCGTATATCCGGATCGTGGCAATGCTTGAACTTTGGTAGAATTTTCAAGCAAGAAAAAAACATATTCATCGAGTTAGCAATTCTGACAAATCTATAATATTTTACAAAATCGCTCAGGTAAAATGCAGCAAAAACCAGCTGAAAACACATACAGTAGCGGTCAAAAGTTTGGAAACTTTTTTATTTTTGATCTAGCGCGGCCGACACATAACGAAATTGTCCCAAATTTAGATATTACATACAAAATCAAGTCCAGAATACGACGGGAAGAATAATTTCCAAAAATCTATAATCATTTGAGAAATAAGATTTTTTCAAGTAATGGCGCGTCAAAAGTTTGGAAACTTTTTGTTTCCCTCATCATTATGATTCCTACTCTTCAAGTTTCACTTGTTTCTAATTTTATAATTTCAAAATGAATTCATATGCAAAGGAAGCAGTTTTCCATGGGAGGTCCTTTTTTAAACCCTACAATCCGGAATACGAAATTGAAATTGTTTCTTAGTAGTTCAGTCTCTACGGAAGCAATATTATCGAATGTTTCTAGCGTTATTGGAGTCGAGTAAGCATAAGAAGAATGATCATTCACAAAAAAGTATCCTCACAAGAAAATTGGCCCTCCTCAAATACTTCGAAGGGTGGTTGGCACGTCCCGTACCCCGACATCCCAACTAAGAGACGACTTTTTCTGGTTTTTTCCTAATCATATGAAAGTCCAAGTGCAGCCCAACATCGGCCGCGACCTGGTAAATATTGCGCAATGAATTGGAATTTGAATTTGTGTATGAATTCCCTGATGCTTCAGTGATCGAGCCCATTTGGAAAATGTGTTCAACGACTTCATCGGCTTCAAAACCGCAGACTTTCCCACAAAATAAGCATTTGCATATTCGCTTCACTTGCGAAGATGTGTAGATCACAGCGGTTTTATATCGATCGACATTGATTTTTTGCTGAGATATGCAGTTCTATAAATAAAGGTGAAAAACTGACATCATGTCCCGGACAACTTGATGTTAAAAAAGCAATCTTAGGTATATGCATTTTTGTCAAAGTCACATCGTCTCGGTAGTAGCCCACATAAAGAGAAAAGCCTACAAGTTCTTTTATTTAAGCTATCCCAGCAGAGCTTTTGACCCTTCATTATTTTTTCTTTTCCAGAAAATTAATAGTTATGTCAAACAGAGGCTAGATAAACACATTTCATGATTCCTCTAAAGCATTCAGATATTATAAACGGTTCACTGCTAGCCCAGGAACCGTTCAGAGATGAACTGTGGAATGTAGCATGTCTTGCTATATGCATTTTTGTCAAGGTCACATCACTTAAAAGTTGACGTTGCCTCAAAATCGAATTTGTTTCACATTTCAACTGAGAAAACACTAGTAGTTAAAGTCGTCCTACCTAGCTCTATTTCGAGACAAGTCTTAACATGTGCGCATTTATTGAGAAACATTTTGTTCAAGGAACATGCATCCATTCAATTGTCTGAAAGAATACGTTTGAGAGAACTCAGGATGCTCAAGAAATCTCATCAATGGTCATTCAGAAAATGTTCCTTCCAATCCTATTCTTCCTAAAAGGATTGTAACTGTGTCATTGAAGATCTTGCTCTTTCTTCCAATGACTGTGCCCTAAATCAGCCCATCACAGTCTCCTCTGATACCACATTGGCTTCGTCGCTGACGGTGCTTCTTCTAGTTCTGTTCATCATTCGGAAAACTCTTAACTCCTCCTCGGTATTTGGAGTAAGTGAAATACGCTGCTTTTTGTGTAACATCAGGTCTCTTCATAAGAATGCGAGCTCTCTTCAGTACTCCATCGCTGCAATGAACTATGACATCCTGGCCTTGACCGAAACGTGGTTAAAATCCGAAAGCACATTTGAACCTTTGCTCGGTTGACTGATTGACTCCTTAAGAAAGTTTTAGATGCGATAAGCCTAGGCTCAAAGGGGAAGGCGTA